CACAAATAAAAGTCTCATAACAACTAGAATCAATATTCATTTTGTAATTGTGTCGCAATTTCTTCTCTTAAACTAGCCATATATGTTTGGTCAGCGGCACTCCCATGCGATTGAATMTCTTCAGCCTCATCTTCGTCATCGTTCTGTTGTTYRTTRGTTTGATCATACTCAGAAAATAGCTCATCACTTAAACCTTCCTTCCATATGAAGTTGTGAACCGCAAAACATGCAATAACAACGTCTCTGAAATCGGAGCTGTAGTCGAGAGAGAAATCGAGATCCAGAAAGCGATCGGAGCTAAAATCGGAGATCCAGAAAGCGAGAGAGAAATCGGAGCTAAAAGCGGAGCTGTAATCGCTCTTAAATCTCTGAAATCGGAGCTGTAGTCGAGAGAGAAATCGAGATCCAGAAAGCGATCGGAGCAATCTCTGAAATCGGAGCGAGTGAGAGAGAGGAGCTTGGTGAGGAAGGAATCGATGGTGATTGTGAATCGATGGTGATTGGAGCAACGCAAAGGAGCTTGGTGAGGAATAATCTCTGAAATCGGAGCTGGTAGTCGAGAGAGAAATCGAGCTGAAATCGGAGCTGGTAGTGAGGAATAAGTGGTTTTCAGACCTTAGAATCCCTCTAAATTATTCAGACCTTTTGAGAGAACTTAAGCACTTAATTTTAAAAAAAAACAAACGCATTTAATGCCTCAATGTCTGACCGATTCAGACATAAGAGGCAATTAAGTGGTTTTTTTTAAAAAACAAACAGCCCCTTAGACTCATTTGAACGTATCTATATATAATTTACATTATCAGTTCAATTGGACTCATTTGATTGACACATGTCCTCTTATTCAATCATTCTCACTAATTTAGGATGCAATTGATTTTATTCTTGGGTTTAATTAATTTGTGTGGTAACTGATTCCCGTAAAAATGGTGTTTACTTCTAAGTTTAAATTCAATTTACTGATATAGTTTCATTTCTAAATTCAATTTTATTGTACGGTAAATTTCATTTTAACTAATTATTGATATAGTTTCATTTTTAAATACATTCTTCACAGTAATTGAGAGATTAAAGAAGAAAATCCTGAAGTAGGAAACTGGTTTCTACGCTGAAGTCTTCTTTTTCAGACTTAGCTCACCCAAACTCTGAAGTCTTCTTATTCAATCAAAGAAGTCTGAACTCTGAAGTCTTCTTTTTCAGATTTAGAAGTCTGAACTCTGAAGTCTTCTTTTTCAGACTTAGAAGTCTGAACTCTAAAGTGTTCTGATTTCAGACTTAGCTCACCCGAACTCTAAAGTCTTCTTTGGTTGATCGAGTGGTAATTGATTTTATTACTTTGTCTGATCGTTTATTTTGAGTACATTTGGAAAGTCTTCTTTTCCAGACAGAGCACCATGCAGAGCCTCTGCATAGTACATGCAGAGCTTCTGGCTTGCCTATACAGAGCTCTGAAGTCTGAACAGTTTTACTTTAGAGTTATTTCAAGAGAACAAATCTGAAGTCATTCTTCAGAGTTAGCTCACTCGAACTCTGAAGTCTGCTTTTTCAGACTTAGCTCACCCGAACTCTAGAGTCTGAACTCTGAAGTTTTCTTTTTCAGACTTAGAAGTCTGAAATCTGAAATCTGAAGTCTCCTTTTTCAGACTTAGAAGTCTGAAATCTGAACTCTGAAGTCTTCTTTTTCAGACTTAGATACCCGAACTCTGAAGTCTTCTTTTTCAGACTTAGAAGTCTGAACTCTGAAGTCTTCTTTTTAAGACTCAGAAACCCGAACTCTGAAGTCTTCTTTNAACTCTGAAGTCTTCTTTTTCAGACTTAGAAGTCTGAACTCTGAAGTCTTCTTTTTAAGACTCAGAAACCCGAACTCTGAAGTCTTCTTTTTCAGGCTTAGAAGTCTGAACTCTGAAGTCTTCCAGAAGTCTGAAGTCATTCTTCAGAGTTTTACTTCAGAGTTATTTCAAGAGTACAAGTTTGAAGAGTCATTCTTCAGAGTTAGCTCACCCGAATTTTCAAGTATTCTTTTTCAGACTTAGCTCACCCGAACTCTGAAGTCTTTCTTTCCAAACTTAGAAGTCTGAATCCTGATTTAATGGGATTGAGTTTATACTTTAGAGTTATTTCAAGAGTACAAGTCCGAATAGTCATTCTTCAGAGGTTTACTTCAGAGTTATTTGTAGAGTACAAGTCTGAAGAGTCATTATTCAAAGTTAGCTCACCCGAACTCTGAAGTCTTCTTTTCCAGACGGAGCATCATGCAGAGCCTCTGCATAGTGCATGCAAAGCTTCTGGCTTGCCTATACAGATCTCTAAAGTCTGAAGAGTTTTATTTCAGAGTTATTTCGAGAGTACAAGTCTTGTAATAAACTTATCTAGACTTTGACGATAAGTCTTTAAGACTTAGACTTAGTCTTGTAAGCTAGAGCCCCTCTGGTTGGTCTGGCTTCTGGATGGCTTTGCTTTTGGTTGTTTATTTGAACATTGAAAAAATATTCAATCCATTATAAAGGAATTAGAGGGGCTTTGGTTGATCTTCATGTTTAACCAGGGAGTCTCTGGTTGTAATTGAAGCTCAAATTCTTTAAGTATTTAACATTTTATTGACCAAGAAGCTCTGGATAGACGAATTAGAGGCTCTGGTTGACCAGAGGGCCTTTGGTTGGCCTTGCTTTTGGTTGGTGAGTCCAGAGGGGCTCTAGTCCTCAAGGACCAAAGGAGCTCTGGTTGGTCTTGCTCTATATGATGCAAGCTTTACCATGGGGTCTTTTTCAAAGATATTGGATATTTGAATAACTCTGAACTCAAGGTCTTCAGATTTTTGACACAAACGCTCTTCTAAGTTCAAATTCAATTTATTGATATAGTTTCATTTCTAAATTCAATTTTATTCTAGGGTTAACTTCATTTTAACTAATTATTGATATAGTTTCATTTATAAATTCAAGTTTGAAGGGTCATTATTCAGAGTTATAGTTCAGAGTTATTTCAAGAGTACAAGTATGAAAAGCCAATCTAAATTTACTTCTAAGTTTAAATTCAATTTACTGATATAGTTTCATTTATAAATTAAATTTTATTTTAGGGTTAACTCCATTTTAACTTATTATTGATATAGTTTCATTTTTAAAATTCAAGTCTAAAGAGTTATTTTTCAGAGTTATTTCAAGAGTACAAGTCTGAAGTCATTATTCAGAGTTATATGTCAAAGTTATTTCAAGAGTACAAGTCTGAAGAGTCATTTTAAATATATTTCTAAGTTTAAATTCAATTTATTGATATAGTTTAAAATCTGAATTCAATTTTATTATATGGTTAACTTCATTTTAACTAATTATTGATATAGTTTTATTTTCAAAATTCAATTATAAAGAGTTTTTTATTCAAAGTTATTTTAAGAATATAAGTATGAAGTAGCATCATACTTGCAATGGTTATTCATATTTATAAAATAAATTTTCTGATATAATTCAATCTTTTTAAATTAAGTCGTGTAATACATAGAACCTAGTCACTTTCACTTACATAATAATTATTGATATGGAAAAAAAAACGAGTTACATGTGAGTTTTATGATATTTTTATGGGTTGTTGAGTTGGTTTCGTCTGAAGAAAGATTCCCTGCAAATACACCGTTTTCTCGGAACCATCTCTCTCTCTCTCTCTCTCTCTCGCAAGTTACGCAACCCATTTCTTCTTTCGATTCAATACCTAATCATCTGCTCTCACTTTCCATCAATGGAGGAAGCTAACAGTAAGTCCCTCTCACTACCGCTCCAATTGCTGTTGCTTCTTTTACTTTCAATACTTTACATCGTACCATGTCTCTTTGGCTCTTCTGATCTTCGATTCACACGGATATCTTTCCTAATTCAATATATTTGTGGTTATAAAGAAATTCTTTGAATCTTCTCTAGGTGATCGCTAATTAAGGTTGCATTTACTTGATGAGATCCATTTTCGTTGAGCTTTTCTCAGATGCTCTGTTAGGAATTTGAGTTGGCAATCTAGGGCTGAGTTGCTTCCAGTAATATATTGAATATTTGGTGGTTTGATCTTTCCATGGAGTAGCACTTTAGACTTCTCAATTAAGGAAAAGGGTAAAAGGCAAAGAAAGTGTTAAAGTTATTTCTGTACTCGAAGTTCACTAAATTATACACGTCATCTGTCCCAAATAAAAAAGGCCCACAATTTGATTTTTGGTGCCAAACCTAGTTATCTTAAAATCTATCTATATAGATTCTTGTTGCACACTGAAACTAAGATTATGCTATGAGTACTATGTACTTGAAGAATTTTTATAGAATAATAGAAATCTATGCCAGTAGTCAATATGAAATGTATATTTTGACATCCAAAGTTGATGTCCCGCATTCTTTTCTTTTGGGACGGATGGAGTATCTTCTGATCTTAATCGAACAATTGTACACCTTGTTTCAATTAATGTCCACTTTCTATTTTTGTATGTTGAAACCACCACTGCTACAATTCAAATGTAATATTGGATTTTATGTTACTTTTGTACATTTTTTCTTGAAATTGTGGTGCTTCTTATATGGTCTAATGTGGTTACATTGCATATAAAAATCCGAATAGATTAATATATAATTTTTGAACCAAAACAAGTTGCAGACTTTAAAAGTAATCCCATCAAGACACTTGCAATGTAATGGGGGAAGTAAAATTTGTTGTGAATGATCCCGAACACCATGGTTGGGTGGTTTTGCATGTTTGCTGCTTTCTACGGGTTATCGTTCTGAATTGAATAATATAATTGTACGGTTTGTCTTTAACATTATTAGGTAGAGCCTAAATGTTTTGTTAGCTTGTAATAAGGATATCTATTTTAAGTAGAAAATGGTTGGGAACTTTAACAATAGAAGCCAATTAGGAACTAGTTACAGAAGTTTGACCGTTTAGTGTTTTTAGTTGGGCATGCCTATAGATAGTTTTTCCTCGTGATTTCATTATCTACTTCTGTTCCATTCTACTGATGTTCATACTAACTTTTTGATTTTCGTTGTTAAATAGTTGTTGAGACTAAAGACGGGACGATCTCCGTTGCTTCAGCTTTTGCTGGCCACCAGGAAGGTTAGATAAGATCCACTGTTAAGCATCTCCTTTTGCAATTCAGTTGGTTGAATTTGAGTTTACATGGATGCTCTGACACTCTAAAATTGCAATTTATACTCATGTTAGTAGAAGAATTTCTTGAGACTTAAATAATTCAAAAAAATCTAATTAATTTAATATATTTATACGTCAAGTAAAAGTTTTTGAACAAATATAATATATTCTTTAAAAGATAATATTTTTTTTGTAAAAAAGGAACAATTCTTATTTTCTTTTTTCAAAAAATACATATTTAAAAAAAAAATATTAGCGAGATAAGTTGTCTTCTACTAGTTTTATTAATATTGATACATTAATGAATAATTTAGATTTTTTTAATATATTTATTAAATAACATGTAAAATATCTAAATATTAAAATTAAAAGTACATTGTTTAATAAGAATTAGTAGATGCTATAATAAAATAATATTGAAAGTACAATGTTGTAATAAGAAAGTCACATCACTATAGTACATGTGGATAACCTACGTGGATAATGAGGTGGCATGAGAACCTGGTATAATGAGTAAATTTAAATCAAAAGATTACCCAATGTTATAATGGGTAAAATTTTCAATATACAATGTTCTAATAAAAAATAGTTTAAAAGTACATTGTTGTAATAAGAAAAATTGGAAGTACAATTCTATAATAAAGAAATTTATGAAAGTAGATTGCTATTTTGTGCATTTTGCCCTAATGAAAATATAGATAATTTGCCTCAAAAATCAACTCTCAGCTTCCAATTGAAGCAAGTCTTGTGGACCAAAAACCCCAAAGACTTGTACTATGCATAAAGGGGACTTGGGAAAACTTGTTGATCGCAATCAATTCCACCAGTATATTGTAGTGATTGTTGATGGGCAAAGAGGTAAATTCAAATGAATCTTTCAAGAAGAGGAAACGTGCATTTTATGGGTAACTCAAAATAGAATGTGCATTTTTCTTTGAAATAAATACACACACTCATAAAATATATTATACATACATATATATTAAATACTAGGTACGATCCCGTGTATTACACGGGTTAATTTAAAGAAATTAAATCATATCAGGAAACTTATCTTACATATATGAATGATCATCGAAAGTACGATGCTACTTCAGACTTGTATTATTGAAATAACTCTGAAGAATAACTCTGAAAAATGACTTTTCAGACTTGAATTTAGAAATGAAACTATATCAATAATTAGTTAAAATGAAGTTAACCCTAAAATAAAATAAAATTTAGAAAGGAAACTATATCAGTAAATTGAATTTAAACCTAAGTAAATTTAAAATGACTCTTCAAACTTGTACTCTTGAAATTACTCTGAAGAATGACTTCAGACTTGAAATCTTGAAATAACTCTGAAGTAAAACTCTTCAGACTTCAGAGCTCTATATAGACAAGCCAGAAGCTTTGCATGCACTATGCAGAGGCTTTGCATGGTGCTTCGTCTAGATTAGAAGACTTTAGAGTTCGAGTGAGCTAACTCTGAAGAATGACTCTTCAAACTTGTACTCTGGAAATAACTCTAAAGAATGACTCTTCAGACTTGTACTCTTGAAATAACTCTGAAATATAAAATCAATCCCACGAAATTAGAGTTCAGACTTCTAAGTCTGAAAAAAGACTTCAGAGTTCGGATGAGCTAAGTCTGAAAAAGAAGACTTCAGAATTCGGGTGAGCTAACTCTGAAGAATGACTCTTCAGACTTGTAGAAGACTTCAGAGTTCAAACTTCTAAGTCTGAAAAAAAAGACTTCAGAGTTTAGACTTCTAAGTCTGAAAAAGAAGACTTTAGAGTTTAGACTCCAGAGTTCGGGTGAGCTAAGTCTGAAAAAACAGACTTCAGAGTTTGGGTGAGCTAACTCTTTAGAAAGACTCTTCAGACTTGTACTCTTGAAATAACTCTGAAGTTAAACTCTGAAGAATAACTTCAGACTTGTACTATTGAAATAACACTGAAGAATGACTCTTCAGACTTGTACTCTTGAAATAACTCTAAAGTATAAAATCAATCCCACTAAATCAGAGTTCAGACTTCTAAGTCTGAAAAAAAGACTTCAAAGTTCAGGTGAGATAAGTCTGAAAAAGAAGATTTCAGAATTCAGGTGAGCTATCTCTGAAAAATGACTCTTCAGACTTGTAGAAGAATACAGAGTTCAGACTTCTAAGTCTAAAAAAGAAGACTTCAGAGTTCATACTCCAGAGTTTGGGTGAGCTAAGTCTGAAAAAGCAGACTTCAGAGTTCGGGTGAGCTAACTCAGAAGAATGACTTCAAACTTGTTCTCTTGAAATAATTCTGAAGTAAAACATTTCAGTAAATTGAATTTAGAATAAAATGAAGTTACCCTAGAATAAAATTGAATTTAGAATGAAACTATATCAGTAAATTGAATTTAAACTTAGAAGTAAACACCATTTTTTTCGGGAATCAGTTATCACATGAATTAATTAACCCAAGAATAAAATCAATTGCATCTTAGTGGGATTTATTGAATAAGAGGACACATGTCAATCAAATGAGTCTAATTGAACTGCTAATGTAAATTGTGTCTAGGTACGTTCAAATGAGTCCAATTGAACTGATAATGTAAATTGTGTCTAGATACATCTTTAGGCGGGAAAACAAGAAAACCGACTCACCAAAAGATGACACGTGTCACTCCAGTTACTTATTTATTATATGTATAGATTTATGTATGTGGGTGTGCGTGACCCTTTTTAGTACTTCTTATAAATGTTGAACCTGCACTCCTTACCAGACCTTATACATGTATCTGTTCCCATGCTTCATAGATCATGTCATAATTCTTTACTGTTTTTTCCTCATTGGTTTTGTGGTTAGTTTGTATTTAGATATGGTCATGCAATTCTATGTTCTGAGATGGTGTGCGGTCGTTTGGTTAAAATGAGTCATGTGTGAGTGTAATAGTTGGTCAAGTCTGTCTTTGGTGATTGGCAAGCAGTTGTACAGGACAGAGACCACAAATTCTTGACAAGAGCTGTAGAAGAAGCATATAAAGGAGTAGATTGTGGAGATGGAGGGCCATTTGGTGCAGTTGTTGTCTGCAAGGATGAGATTGTTGTGAGTTGTCATAACATGGTCCTAAAACACACAGACCCAACTGCACATGCAGAGGTTACAGCTATAAGAGAGGTTAGACTCATTTTTACAGTGGTTTACAGAACCATTTAAGTTTTGATGCTCCAAGTATTATAATTTTGTGCTCGATGTTTTAGGTGCTCTTTTTGAGATTTGATGAATTTATGCTGCGCATATCTCTGCTTGTTACATTGCTACCTCTATGCTTACAAGCCATGCTGAGTTTATGCCCCATTCATTGGCTTTTTTCCTTTCCATTTATCATCTCCATTTTGTTGGTCCACATCCATTAGTTTTTCCTCACATCATGGAAATGGGACAAAACAAAATGAAAATTGAAGATGTATATATTGCCAAAATGAGTGACAGCTTAAGAGTTTGATCATCTTCCATGTTCACTTTTCCACCTTCTAATGGTGTAGTAGCTTCTCTATATTATATTCACGTTTCACCTTCTGTTCCACCGTTGGTATTTGTTATTTGGTTTGTGACATTTCTATTTGCGTACTTATCATAATGTGAACAAGGTGCTCATTACTATAATATTTACCAGCTCATTGATAAGCAATCAGACTGAAAATGAAACCTACCTTGTCTGCCTTTCAGCATAGCCTTATTGATGCTGATTATATTACAGTGCAACCCTGGAGCTGATTTTGAGTTTGTTCATAATGTCAATCTTGTTAGCTTTGATCACAGTCATGTGATAGAAGGATTTAAGGGAATGATTTTTGGTTATTAGATTCATCATTTTTTTATAGAAATCTCATATTTGAACTTTATATCATTTCGCTGCTCTTGTCAGTAAAAACAGAGACCCACATCTATAAATGTCGTTTAACCTCTAATGCATCATACTGATACCATGTGCAAAAATTATTGATGACTGAGATCGGTATGTGAGTCGAGTCCAATGTGGATGTATCATAAAGTCCTATCATATGAGTAGATTTCCCCCAAAGTCATATTAACTTAGTAAGAATAAATCCATAGTTGAATCTGATTCTTAAATCCTCAAAATATAATTTGAAATGAATGTGACAGATTTCGTCTTGATTATGATGCCCGATTGAAATGTGATCCACTTTTACTAGAAATCATGATTGAGGTGTTCTTTCAAGTGTAACGACAGCACATAAGTTCATGACAGTTGGTGAAGGAGGGTTCAGGGGATAATAATTGTTAAGAGAGAGAAAGCAAGATGAAACGATTTACATGTCAAATTCTTTAATTTGTTTTGAGATAATGCAAACTTTCAGCTCCTCGTTGTATACAAGTTTGAACTTTTGGATAGACACACACATACATGTATATACTCCTACTATATAGTCCAGCATGGCATGACCCAAAAAACGAGTTAAATGATTTAGGAACATTAATGGAAGGGATATGCAGGCCTGAGCCAACAATCACAACACAACACATCCCTGATTTCCTATCCCCTGATAAGTATGGTCAACTATTAGTATTCAGATATAGGGTCAATGCCCCACCCTGATGCTACAGAGGCTCTGCAAGAGGTGGAATCCCCCCTACTAATTACATTTTGACCTATTTGCAACAGGAAGTCGGAAAGGGATAATTTTTACAGAAAACTGGAAGATGGTTCTAGTGGCCGTAAATATTCTTTCATATGATAAACTGGATAATTTATTTGAATTTTTGCAAATGCCGAAGTTCTAAGGTTAACAGCCCCATTCAAACATGTAATGTATTAGAAACTTGTGAATCCTAACAATGATAGAATTCAGAAACCAAAATAAGTTAGAGCTTTCAACTTTAAAAACATGGAACAACTTGGAAGCCATCTTATAGAAAAACATCTAAACTAACAAGAGGAGCCCTAAAATGGTGAAAGGTTAAACTGTGTGTGCACAATGTTTAATAAACAAAAGTCAGATGAAATTTTGTCTACATAAAGGAGAAAGGTAAATCAGGAACATGGAGCTACCAAAAATGCTCTAATGTCAAAACTCAGAAGACCTACATTTGTTTCTTAGATGATTACAGATATACTGCTCATTGCAAATACTATTGATCTGGTCTCCACATTTTGAAGGACAAATGCAGAGGCGAATTATATAATTGGCTCAAACTGCAGATTTTATGTTTATATCACATTTAACACATCTAAGTAGCAATGTTCTAGAGCTGTTTGCTTGACTGGGGTTCAGTGGATGGTGGACGATTCTCATAATTACGAAGTTTTCTCTTGAAGTTATCTGCTTCTCCTTTCAAGGCAGGTTAAAATTGCATGTAAGCAATAGCTCTGGATGAAACGATGATCAAGTTAAATGAATAGTCCAAGTACAATATTCTGGAGACGCTTCTAGATTGTGGCTAGTATGTACCGTTAGATAGCTGATGATTCTCCCGATCAATTAGATATATATTTTTATGTGAAAATTATCAGCGTTTTATATCAAGCTAGGATCTAAAAAGTTTAGGAAGTGTGAATAGCATTCAAAATCATGCGTTTTTGATGAAATTAATTGATCTGCATCATTAACAATGTTCTAAAGCCCTTTCTTTTTTGCTATAAGATGAAATTAATTGATCTGTATCATCGATTCTCGCCTTTTGTGAAACAGGTAAGAGTGTGTTTGTTGATGAAAAAAAGCTTAGTTAAAGGAAAAGCAACAAGTAAAGTTCCCTACTTTAGTTTCTTTGACAACATAACTTATATGAAAATAGCGCAAGTGAACACTAAGTTTTAGAGGATGATGCTTCTTGTCTTGCTCTTTAAATTTTGATAGATTGTGTATGTCTGTTTCATAATCTTGGACTTTGTCAAACTATCATGGTTTGTGAATTTGGTCTTCTTATCATTGTTAATATTACTTTCTTTTATTTTAATATTATTTTTATCGCATGTATCAGGCGTGCAAAAAGCTGAACCAAATTGAGCTCTCTGACTGTGAGATATATGCCTCTTGCGAGCCCTGTCCTATGTGCTTTGGCGCCATTCATCTTTCAAGAATCAAGGTTCCGTCGCTGGCCCATATCCTTTCTAATATTTCCATTATATACATACATATATATATATATATATACATACATATATATATATATATATATATATATGCCTCCCACATATTATAGCAATATAGGATTAATTACCAGAGAGGCAACCATACTATTAGGGGGCGTATGGTTTGCAGAATGGAATTTGGTGGAATTGGAATGGAATTTGATGAAATTTGACCACGCGTTTGGTTGGTAGGAATTTTAAAGGAATCTTCATCTCTGTTTGGGGTGGGTGGGGGTGGCAGCAATAACGATGACAATTATGACATGGTGGTGGCGTTGGGTGCATGGGTGGGTGGTGGCAACTGTGACGGCAACAGTAGTGGCATGGTGGTTGGTGCCTTGGTG